TTACCATGGCAGTAGAGGTAGAGTCACATATTTATACATGTGTAAGTACATATATACATACTCTTGCTGATACATATACTCGCACTCAGGACTGTCACCTCATCTGCATAAATCTCACTATGCCCATTTTCGGCGATACCAGCTTTCCATGTTGAATAAACTATATGTCTCTCGCGAATGTGTCAAAATATGGAATTGAGGTGCCAGTCCTGAGTGCGAGGATAGTACATACATAATAATTACTGTTTGTTAACGGATTATTTAGAGTGTACATGACTTATTTTTTGTTTAAGCTTCTTAGATCGTCGGCACGTGTATTGTTTTGCGTTTGGACTAGTCAAACAATAATTTTATCCAGTAATTGTATATTCCCTCTATGCCTAAGTAAATAATTTGTTATTTTCCAAGCAATTAGCGAAAATCAGTAAATCTTGTCAATTTCATTGAGATTGTTAATTATACCCTGTGAATGTGCATACTCTCGACATATGTATGTACTAGCGTATAAGCTCGTCTCCCGCCGGGCGAGAGTGAATTTGATGTTAAAAAATCCACCAATTAATATTATTGCTTTCTTTACTTTTACTTCTGTCACGGAAAATTATTTTGCTTCCGTCGCAGACAAACATTTCCAGCTTATAAAATAGATTCTTAAACCTAATTCATGTTTTGAATATTTTGATAATGTATTTGAATGATACGCTACTTTAATTTTATTGAATTTAAGCAGCGCCTACACAATTTTCTGATAAATTGAAGACATTCATTAAAGAAGCACATTTTTTATCTATGTATATATACATAAGCCCAATTCGAAGTAATTATTGATCAAAATGATAAACACAAAAGCAGTTTCGCCTGCTGTTTACATGCATACGTTAATAAATTACATGTAGGATGCTCGTCGGTCGCATGGATTATTAAATGAAAAAGATAAAGCCCCGAATTTATTGGTTTGCAGTTCAAACCGGAGATACATATCTTCAATTTCGGAGAGATTTGGGATGCTGTGAAAATATTTTCGGTAGCTTGCAATCCGTCTTATTTATAAAAATTTCTCGAAATAAAGAAAAAATCAATCTGTACAAATCTTCCATACGTTTGAAACATCTAGCAACTTTTCGAATAATATTCTCCACCAATGCAGTGGCAAACTTGTGCAAATTATGGAACCAAAGTCTAACCATACTTCTGATTTCCCTTAGAAATATGGCAAAAGCTAACCCTTCACCTATCATGAATAGGTAGAACACTATTCCAAGATTTGAGACTAGTACTTGAGGTTGAAAGTGTTCATTTATTCCTTGTTCTCTCGATCTTCGAGGTAGCATCAAATTGTTAGTAAAGGTTCTCCATTTCCAGTAAATTCCGGTATCTAACAATTTCAAAACCCCGCGAACTACCATTTCAGCCGCGAATTCAGATATAACAAAAAATTTCCTCTGATTAAACGCCGTTTCCTCCAATTTGACATATGGTCTTCTTTTAAGGTGGGATATTTCGCCAAGAATATGATCCTGAGTAGAATCAATCTCATCGGTCAAACCAATAAGTGCAGATTTTTTACAATTCGCCATAATTTCTACGCCATACTTTTGTCCGTCCTCGTAACTCCGGTTATTCTTAGGATCACCAATGGGGCTGAAGTATGTTTCCGACTCGAAATATACGTTAAGTTCTGGATCATTCTTAACTCGAGAAAATGCTCGGTCGACTTGCTCCTGGGACAACCTTGAGCTATTTACCCGTACCGCGTTGCGACAATGTCTCTTTGCTTTTCCCGTCATGCCATCATTAAAGCAAAACTTATTGTCCACAATTTCCCAAAAGACGGGAAATTGTTCGATACCTCCGCCAAAAGTTCCGTTGAGGGCTATGGAAGCTAAAGACGACCGCCACAGCATTAAGGAGATGTACATCAAAATATTAGACATAACACGACAATCACAATTTTGACTGATAAATGGTTTAAAATCCACGAAACGGAAGCCATTGTCCGTCATTGCGTTTAAACTCGTGGGTAAATTCGCCGTCAGTGGGGCCGTTATATCGTTCGTGACAATACTTTTGTAAACGTTGCCGACCAGAAAAAACGCAAAAGTCCAAACTAACAGCAGGCCCGTAGTACACTTCGACTTGGAAGTTTTACTACTGTTTTCGACAACTATGCCAAAAAGGGCGAGAAATAGACCCTCTTCAGCTACGAGTTTGATAAATACACCCAAGCTTATGAAAGAAACAATAATTCCGATCCATACCAGTACATCAAAAGGGTTCAGGAAGTTCGAAAACGTGACATACTCCACCATTGGAGAACATGTGATAAACGATATACTAATATTTGTCCAGAATATTGGACGAAGATCACGTCGTATATGCAAAATCTGATCTTTTTCGTCCAGCGAGATATCCTCCATGCCTTCCCGCCCAGAGGGATATTCCGCCTCCAGGAAGATTCCATCAAAATAGTCAGGTTCGGAAAAGATTAGACTCGTGTTAATTTCCAGATACTCGTAAAGGATGGTTGTCACGACCATGTATAAAATTTGGTGAACATCATTTTTCAATTCTTCTCTGTCGTTTAATATAGACCTGAAATCAAACTTCCACTGATCATACCCGTTGTTTCTGCTGATTTGCCATGCAAGAGTTTTGTCAGCTTCGATAACCATGAAATCTACCAAGGCAGCCGAAATCCTGCCATCATATATCGACGTTTCTACTTGCCTTGACCGAATACAGTGGAGACAGACGTGAAACATTCGATTGGGGTTATCTAAATCCTCTGTAACATAATATTTCCGCTTTAGGATTAATATGTGACTAATTTGGTAAATTCGTAAAATAAAGTCAGAACACATTCGTGCAATGCTTGAATCTAATTGTGAAAACGAAGAGAAACCCGGGTCATAATGGAAGTAGTCAATTTCCCCCATGTAAACTAAAGCGATAGTCCGATGATAGTAAGGTTTCGAATAGTGTGTAAACCGTAACTCATCGTGCAAGCTTTGGCCTCTCGGAATTGGTTGAGATTGTATAGAATTTATCAAATATGTCCGCAAGCGCCACAATGGTAAGAAACAAGAGTCGGATAACATTATGACGAGAAGCTTACAATAAAGGATTTGACGCGTTTGGGAGGGCACAAAGTCCGGGAGGAGGACACTTATCGGAGGTACGTTACTAGGACGTGTCTTCATTATTCGCTCTGGGTAAGATAACTGGATGGGATGGATGATTGAAGGAAGCTGGTAGAATTCTGAGGCGTACTTTTGGCCAAGGGATGTCATAAGGATGTGACAAGAGGGAAAGTTATTAATTTCCTGGGAGAATTGAGCTCCAACAGGTTCCGTATTTATGAGGAGCAACACGAAACTAATCATTGTTGGGAGTGAAGTTTCCAAATATTTATAAATTTAATATGTATAACTCATCATTAGATATTGTTTCCTTGTATTAATACTTGTCAGTTTTTATTGTATTGGATATATTCGTATTTCTAACATGCCCGTTGTAAAGATGTAATCCTTTATTTCATACCATTGCATTTGTCTTGCTTATTGAAAATTTAACACAGTTCTGTGTTAAATTTCTTCTAAGAAAGACTGAACAATTATGAAACACTCAGTACATACATGTAAACGGAAAGGCAAAATAAACCGAAAACAAATCAAACACCGAATTAATTACACCCAGAATTAGAAACCCAGAATTAAAATATATTGTGATTCTACTGAAATGGTTTTGGTAAATAATCCCGTTGGTTTTACCATATCGGAGGCTAATCTTTACGCACGGGTACAATTTTTATACACCGCAAGCAGTACCAAGTTTACCCAGAAAGAAATTCCTAAGCCCTAAGGACGTGAGTAAACCAGATTCTCACAGGGTGGCCTTATCGAAAAGCCATACATATTAGATGCAGCCAGCCTTGAATTGTGGGATGAGACTGACAAGCACGAACTACATATCTATAATATAAGATATAAATGTGTATAATGTAAATAAATAAATAAATAAATAATCCATTTATCTGGTTCATTAGAAGAGTGGTGTGCTATTAGACGATTACATTTACTGATATTCTCCGGTGGGAGGTTTATCTAGTTGGAGTTGCTTGGTAATTTCTAAATTTCTTTATTTTTTCTCCAACCTTTTCACGGCTTTGCTTAACTTTACAGCAAATCTGTATATATAATAACTGATAAGTACATTAGTAATAAAGAACATGGTACAGTTGTTTCATTTATTTATAAATTCTAATCAAACTGAATTGACAGATCGTCAATGTCATGCAAACTGGATTGTTTGTTGTTGCAATCAGGAATATGCTGCATGTAGAAAGTTTTGCGCAGGGCAAAAGGGGTGGAATTTTTTGCACTCTACATATTTGTACACTGTTAAAAATCTGAGTAAAATATTACCGTACAATCGTACTCGCATTAACTTGGCAATAACTTCCCACGTGATTACACAGTAGTAGTTTGTTTTAGAGTGATAAATATTCCATTACCACAACCTTACATGTCTACGAAAAGGCCAATTTTTGTAATCCATTTTTTCCGTCTTTTTCCTTCACTGTGCAAAAATCGTGTTATCGTTGGCCTCAATATTTTTCTTCAAAGGGATCACTTAACGGAAAAGTAAGTATCATGTGATTCCTAATTTTTGGCTTTATTTTCTGATATGACTCGCTACGTACATAATCCTGGCGTAGCTTCCTAAAAGGTTCATTGTCGGAACAGAATTTAAAATTGATTTACATACTTTTCAAAAGATTAACACAACCTTTAAGAGTGCATACTTCTCGATTGCAATGCTCTTAAACAGCAGAACGTAGACTTATCTTATGCTAAATAACTCATGCTGATCACATGCTTTGTATCGCATGACGAACTACTGAGTACATTTGACAATTTGTGATATACATAATTGAAGGTGGTCAAATGAAAGTTGATAACAAACCACTTGAGCACCATATAAATGGATGGGACATCGATACGAGCTGTATCACAACTAATTTGCTCTCTTACCAAGTAAAAAATCTTGTAAGTTTGAAGAGATCATGAATTTCTACGTTATTTTTCCCCTCCTCCTCGCCCAAGTTTACTCTCACGGGTATTTGAAGGAGCCCATTTCGCGAACGTCGCTCCACCTCAGGCCCGAATTTGACGCACCGCCACCCTAGTAAGGGATAAAATTGGGAAAATGTAATATGTCTTTGGCAAATTTAATTTATTACTTTTCACATTTTTATCTCAGCTACTGGGACAATTCGGCTATTTGGTGTGGCAATGTGAACCAAGATTTGGCTCTGTCAGGGTGTGGGAGATGTGGGGATGTTCTAGGGGAAACGCACTTCCAGCAGGGCGGCGAATATGATAAGGGTATGGCCCTGTAAAATTTATTATTATTAATTAATCATTTGCATAATTGATTTCGGATAATTGATTGCTAATTAACTACATAGTATAAGGATTGATTAAGAAGAATGCATCGGATAATTTGTATTTTTAGGGATTATTGTCGCCAACTATACGGCTGGATCGGTAAAAATTAGCAAATTTAACAGAGAAAATACGGTATTTAATTGGTCGTGCTGTTATAAATAAATAGATCATTGAAGTTACCGCTAATTTCCAAGCCGCGCATTATGGCTCCTTCCAAGTCGAACTTTGTCCGCAAGAGGAGGAAACCGACTTTTGCTTCCAGCTCTTAAACATTGTCGACGGAAGCGAGGTACAGAATTTTTGATTTTTTTAAGAAATATTTTAAATTGACTTAATTTCTTAATTTTTTAGCAAATCCGTATCGACAACAGGATTTGTGTGCCACATGATAATTCACAAAATGTCGATGTCATAGCACACGTCCTTCTCCCGGCGGGGGTTCGGTGTAACAGGTGCACTTTGCGGTGGACGTATCGTACCTCATATCCAGGCTGGGAAGGTTAGCGTGTAGGGATTTCAAAATTCTGCTGATTTCTAAATATTGCGATTTTATTTATAGGCTATGACATCTGCTTCAATCCACATCCGGCTCAGGTTTTCCGAAATTGCGCAGATATCGGGATTTATTAGTTAGTATGGTTTCCTTAAAAGAATGTTACTTACACATTTGTTCAAAATTACACAACTAAATATCTAGTAACAAATTGGATTAAAATTTGCAAGCTAAGAATGTTATTCAACATTATTACAAAGTCTGGGCATAATTTTGGACATGAGACCATTCATGTATAGTAATAAAAAGAATAGATCGTACCTTTACGTATTTTTAATTGCGACATGAAACCACGCACTTAGAGCTTCGGTGATCTGCACGCTGTTGTATAAACTCATAGGCGAATAATTCTTCGTCGCCGATTTTTAAGGTCACCGCACGGTCAAAGGTCAGAGTTTTTCCAGCAATTCAAAATGAGAGGCCAAAATGAAAACTTCATGGATTTTTTTGGACTTTCCAACATTTTTTATTGAATGTGACAGGGATTCACAAAAAAAATGAGCTATCATACGACCGTGTGCGATTTTTTTTGACGCCCACAGGAATTTTTCGCCATGGACAGTTTTGAGGGCTAAAATCGTGACCGTGGCGAAATTCAAAGAACTGAAATATACAAAAGCATACAAACATCGAATATATATTTTTGTATATTTCAATTCTTTGAATTTCGCCACGGTCACGATTTTAGCCCTCAAAACTGTCCATGGCGAAAAACTCCTGTGGGCGTCAAAAAAATCGTACTCGGTCGTATGATAGCTTATTTTTTTTGTGAAGCCCTGCCGCATTCAATAAAAAATGTTGGAAAGTCCAAAAAAATTATCCATGAAGTTTTCATTTTGGCCTCTCATTTTGAATTGCTGGAAAAATTCTGACCTTTGACCGTGCGGTGACCTTAAAAATCGGCGACGAGGAATTATTCGCCTATGAGTTTATACAACAGCGTGCAGAGCAGCGAAGCTCTAAGTGCGTGGTTTCATATCGCAATTAAAAATACGTAAAGGTACGGTCTATTCTTTTGCTTACTGTAAATATTCGAGCCATGGATTGGGCTAATGTTTTAACCACTTCAACCCTAGGAGACGAGTTTTTTCATACCTTTCACCCCTAGTAACCGCGAATTTTTACCTCCCTTGACCCCGAAATTTTTATCTACTGCATGACGTTAATTCCTGGGCCATGAATTAAAAAATGTTGTTCCCACCGGAATTATTCTGGACACTTTTTTATGAAAATTGATGTGAATAACCTTTCAAGAAGGTATTTTGAGTTGTAATTTGCATTTTTGAGTTGTGGCGAACCACCAATGTTTATAGCCGAAAATAGCCAACACGCCGAATTTTAAAAATGATTGTAATTGCATGAAAAGTTAGACAAGCATGGAGTAATACTTGCATAATAGTACGTAAACTCGCAAATATTGATTATAGCGCATAAAGTGCCTTAGGAGCCGATTTTGGGCGGGAAAACCAAAAATCCTTACAATGACTTTAAATAGACAGCAATGACAATGAATAATTATCCCGTGAGAGGAAATTGCTCGAACATAGACTATGGCGCATCTGGTGAATAGAAATCAATTTTAAGCGGGAAAATTAAATTCTACTAATTCCTGGCAATCTCTCAATTTTTAATTTTCCCGCCCAAAAGATATTTCAGCGGCACCCGATACGTAATGATTAATTTTGACGTAGTTTACCCTACCGGCAAGATTATTTGTGGTATATAATTAAATCCATGCAATGATGCAATTCATCAAACTTTTAGTTTTCTCGCCCACAACGCCCGTTTGTGCTACATGCGAGCAAAACAATTTCTCTAATCTTATCGTAAACCGTTGTTGAAATAAATCGGTGTCGAAATTTCCTTGCAAAAAACAGTTTTCACAACTCGGCGTGTTGGCTAGATATAGCCACTTGGCTATAAATTTATTTTGCATCCATTTCTAATATTATTTCCTAAGAGACAATTTATCTTCCCGCCTAAAGGGCGGGTTGTTGACTCATAACTCTTGCTTTACTTTGCTTGGAGAGGGAATGACCTAATTTTTTCCGGATACGACACATAGTCGTAGGCCGGTGTGAACGGAAAATACGCCACATAGTCGTATCCGTTGTCAAGGGTCAATACGACACATCGTCGTATTCCGGTGCCAAGGGAACTTACGCCACATGGTCGTACTTGGCGTAAAGGTCAAATACGCCACATAGTCGTTATAGGGGTGAAGTGGTTAATTTACTATGCATTTTGACCCATGATGGGCGAATTTTGCGTTCTTATTGATACATATATTGAAATTCTTATTACACTGGAAACAATGAGGTTAGCAATGACTTGATTTAGTGACATGTTACACACATATATTTCATGCATGCAAGTAGTAATGTAAGGGTATCTTGACATGTTTAATCTAACAAAATTAGTCAAGGTAGATTGAGACATTAGTTTTTTCCAGCCTCACTTACAATGGATCAGTACAATCACATACGTCGTAACTTTAGTGATCTTGGGTGCCGTTTTAATGGTCAAATATAACATTTTCAGCCAGCACTACACTTGTCTAAAGTGGATTATTAAGAAAGTTACAAGTGTAAATACATTCCGATTCTCCAAGGACAACAGCATTTTTACGATTACCTATCAGCATGTGCCGCGTAGATGCTTTTAGTTATTAATTTAGACGCCACCGAATATGAGTATTTGATCACGCTGTCGAGCAATACCCGTTTTTGCGTCCCCGCCGCATAAACCGTCGGCGTTGACTTCTGATTCGCAGAGTATCTGTAATGTATTTACTACTCATGTATGCATGCAAATGAGACGAGAGAGAGATGTGCATTGAATGTGATGTTTATAAGTTCTAATTAAGCCGATACATTGCATTTGATATTTAATACTTCATATTATACATACACATATTTATTTATGTATACATGTATGTATGTACGTATACCTATCGGATAAAGGCTTCATTCCCAAGCGAATTTTAAAAATAGGCATTTTGAGATTTATGCAAATGAGCTGAAATGCAACACTACTGTTCAGCCGATATTAATAGTCTGAAAAAAAGCTGAGAGGTTTCCTCGCAGATAATTGATATTATTTTCAAAAAACCAAATAATCTCTCAGAAAAATTTCCAAGGAATTGAGACTATTAATATCGGCTGAACAGTAACTCATATAATATATTTATATTGCGATCGCATCGGAGAACGTCTTTAAGTCATACACACGATGGCCAAAACATCCATAAACTGATTGATCAGCGGAATTTTTAATATGCACAAAACTGTGTGCATAATACATTTTATGGCTTACTAGGTTCACCCGTCTGTAGAAATGTTAAAATTTGAATAGTTATGTATACATATTTATTTATAGCCGTTACATTTGCCAATTCGTGCCTTTCTTCGCATGTCGATTTTAGCAAAGTATGCATGTTTAATGTTGTTAAGTGGAGAGAAAAAGCGATGGAACTTTTACATACATATGTCGCTACGTCGCACTACTTCAATACGTGTATATATGTGTGCCTACTAACAATGCGATGACGCCAGCGGTCTCGCTCCGATTTTGGCGAAACGACGAAAAATATGTAGCCTTAGGTAAATAATTAAACACGTGTTTCAGGATTTACGTGTTTCAGGATTACATTATTTTGAAAAACTCTGAATTTGGCTAAAAATTTATTCGAAAATTCCGCTACAGCTGAAAATGCTAAAAACTCAGGAAAGCGCAAAAGACATCTTGCTCCTTGTGTGAACAATTTAAAATTGGTATGGTCAAACTTGAAGAAAATAACTTCATGCGCCCGAATTCAATGTACGCGAGGATATGTATTTTTCTCTCTCGCGAGAAAACTCTCGCTGTAAAAATGCCCATTCTCGCTTACGGATTCCATCATAACTTTGCCTAAGCTGAGCATTATGAAAAATCCTGAAACATGTGTTTAATTATTTACCTAAGGCTACATATTTTTCGTCGTTTCGCCAAAATCAGAGCGAGACCGCTGGCGTCGTCGCATTGTAAGTATATGATTTGGGCATCACCATGACAAAGAGTAAAGACTGGGAAGATTATAAATATGTATAAGGGTATGCTACTCTATGCTCGCAATGACAATTGGTTTTCAGAGGTGACAACAAATAGCATGGTTACGGCGAAGCTTAAGTATATTTACATTAGCCAGCAACTCACGTCAGGCTTACTACTGACTCAGAATTACTTCACCAAAAATTTGATTCCCGCTTCGTATCCCTACCATACTAATAGCATGGGAAGGATACCAGCGCGGGATGGAAAAGAAAAACTGAGTTGATATTAACAGAAAAATTAATATTTTAAAGTGGTTTGAATTCGTGTATTGCGGTTGGCACGAAGCAAACCCTTCTAGAATATATTTAGTCAACGCCTGCTTTAACCTTGAGCACTTTGTCCATAGATAATAGATATATGTATGCATGCCAAATTAATTTGCTCCTAATACCGTAGAGCGCATGTTCATCGTTCAACCATGGGCGTACAATCTAAGAAATATACGGCATTTATAATTCCACCCCCACTCATGGAATTTCTCCATTTTTTTACAGGTTTAGAAGTTTTAGAATATGGGTGACTTATGTCGAGATATGTGGTTTGGTTGTTAGCAAAAATAAAAATACTCCATTAAATATCATAAAATGCTATACTAAAATTGAACAAGATATGTACTGTGCGGGTGGAGCTTAGCTCGTGAAAAACCAAGTGTTGCGCCTCACTTAACAGAAGAACTGAGGCGCAACACTGGGTTTTCACAAGCTAAGCTCCACCGGCACAGTACATATCTTGCTCAATTTTAGTATAATGATTTTAATTGAATTGTCACTTCAAACATTTATCACGTAGTAGAATAAGGATGCAAATCAGACCGTGTGTACATTATCACCACCAAAACTGATAAGTTGCCCAATTTTGTTGGATTGTTTTATTAATTTGGTTGGCTTAGAAAAAATAAGCCCGTTGGACTTTTTAGTATTGGATAAATTATAAGTTCGATTAAGGAAAATTACATTTTTGTTGGGGGTACAAAATAAACCCAATCAGAAACATCAGAAAAACTTTACTCGTGCTAATTCAGTAATTCTACGATAGACCAGAGCATTTTATTTTACCTGACAGCCAAACTCTCCTCGCCCAAATCACCCATATTCCCAATGTCTTTTAAACGATTTTGAGAACTTTTAGACTGCCACGACCTTATCTATAGAAAGTGCATATGAAAAAA